CTTAGAGCAAATCTTATGTTCCTTGCGTCAGCTGCAAAATCTTTGAACCATCTGTCGATCTTTCTCCATTGCGTTCCATCTGCGGTGTGTCTCAACTCCCCGTCCGACTTACGGTCCTCTTTGTGCCATCGCAACAACTTGGCATGCTCTTTGTTCCTGAACAGACGTTTCAACCGTGGTATTATAGGAGCATACCACATCACCTTGGCGGGAACCCTCTTCCTGGGTTTCTGGCCCTCAACATCGTCACCAGGGTCATCGCCTCTGATCTTATAACGCAATGCAGTGCATACCGGGCATTCATTCAAATTCTCGTATTCACCGCGGTAGAGGATGCAGTCGTTGATGCATGCATGTATCTTCAGAACCTCTAAACCTAGAGGGCAGACAACCTTCTTTGCTTCGTATGTACTGGCGGGCAACTCGTTATCCTTTGGAAACATGTTCTTCAACATTTTCAGCAAGTTTTCAAATGCCGAGTCAGCTACACCTGCCTCTGCCTTCCATTTCAGCAAATCCAGTGTGCAGCCCAGCTTTTTCAGACCATCGTCGCATCCGGGGTACAGCGCCTTTCTGTGATCCTCTAACATGCGATCCAAATTCTCCCTCTCCTTTTCAGTTTCGCAGCGTCTCCGTGCATCAGCAATGGTCCGACCAAGATCATCAACGGGATCATCACGTGCCTCTTCTTCACCTTCCCCTTCACCTTCAGCATCCTCCATGAAAGTATCACCGAAATGAGCAAGATAGCTTTCATCGATGAAATCATCCCCTTCTTCATCTTCTTCCATTATAACCCCTCTTTCTCCATGCTTGGTCCAACAATTATAGCTTGGCATGAAACCGTGCCGAAGCAGATGCATGTGAACATCTCTTGAGGAAGAGTAACCCTTCTGATTCTTACAGATAACACATGGACAGATAACAAAACCCCCCTGCTTGTTCGCATTAGCCACTACGAGGAAATCTTTCAAACCCGTAGTGAACTCGCCGGAGAGTCGGTTACCGTACATCCATTGCCGATTCATCTGCATTATTATAATATAAAATATATAATTAACCATCATGCATTTTTTAAACTAACTAGCTACAAATAATATAAATTAAACAATGAACTGCACACATGCATATTTTATCAATGACACACATGCATGAAAGGTTCAAGTTGCTAACCGCGATCGAGGAGGAAAAAATAAATGAGGAACCTCAAGTGTGGCTCCAACACTTCATATCATGTTTGTTTCACCCTCTTAGGGCATTTCATCAAACACCTTGTGTGCATAAGAGGAACCAAAAGCAAACCTACACCCCCTTGTGAAGCTTGTGAAGAGAAGTGGCACCAAATGGCTAAGTGAGCGTGCTGAACTGGTATATATAGGGGAGGAGCTTTAGTCGCGGTTGGCCTGGCCAACCGCGACTAAAGGCCTTTGCGCACCTTTAGTCGCGGTTGGCCTGGCCAACCGCGACTAAAGCCCGCGAGCTCTAGTCGCGGTTGGCCAGGCCAACCGCGACTAAAGGCCTTTGGGCACCTTTAGTCGCGGTTGGCCTGGCCAACCGCGACTAAAGCCCGCGAGCGCCCTGGGCCCAGGCATTTGGTCGCGGTTCATCTGCCGAACCGCGACTGAAGACTTCATTAGTCGCGGTTCCTACAGTTTCGCGACTAATGAGGCTGGACGGAAGCCTCTTTTTCTACTAGTGACACTTAGTTTTTGCCATGGTTGCAAGTTATTTTAATGAACCACTGAAGTTACTTTCTTTCATCTTTAAAACATTTTCAGTGAGTAGATGCAATTTTCAGCGAAAATTTAGAATGTACTTCATTCACAAATATAAGATGTTTTGGATTTCAATATGGGCTACATACGGACTGAAATGATTGAACAAATACCGTGTTTATATACATCCGATTTAGAAAAAAGTTGGAACATCTTATATTTGTGAATGGAGGGAGTAGCATTCTCAAGTTTCTTGACTTCTATTATGAAGAACATTAAAGTTGGGTGTGCTTGTGCGACAATTTTATCTTGGTGACTTGCTGCTCGTTGACATGTTGGTTGAAAGCCTATTTCGAGAAGAACTTTAAAGTTGGAGAGAATGGAGATGAATTCAGCTGACCCATCAGTCGGATCAAGTGTCTTGGCTTTTGGAAAATCTGGAAAGTTTTCTGGTAGGTCTATGTGGGAGTATATTCACAGGCAGGGTTTCAGGCCATACTGTACACACATTTACAAAGCAGCAAAAAAATCCAGCGAAGATGTTCTCACTTTTTTGTGCTGGTGAATAAGAAGCTGAGACGGTGCAAAGTAAAGGTTCGTTTCTTCTATTTGGTATACGATCTTATGAGTTTCCCTTCGTAGCGATGTTCAAGGTTTTTCTGATGATTGTCGGCATGCATTTCCCCCCTGGATTACTAAACCCACAGAAGATAATTCTCTTCACAAGAAACCATTCCAGTGAGCAAAAGCAAGAACTGCATTTTGAATGAACTCAGTCACAGCTGTTGTGTTCCTTACATAGGGTTGTCTGTTCACATTTTATGTCTGAACCCGTCTAAGAGAATGGACAGCAGCAAAGATGAAAGGAGAGAGAAACAACACTCAGATGCTACACGTCTAAATAATCACTGGAAGCAAATCACAGTACCCTAAACAATGGTGAAGATAGATACCCTACAGGTTGGCGTGCGGACAACAAAACTTAAATGGAACAAATACAGAAGCAAACACCCCCTATGGGACCACCCACTCTCTAGTTGTCGACGATGAGCTTCCGCCGCTTGTAGTTGACCATCACCTCACCCTTGATGCCGACGACCATCGCATTCCAGTCGTTCTCCGGGAATGGTGAGACCAGCTCGAACTCAAAGTTCCTCAGCAGGTGTGTCCATATTGCCTTGATCTGCAGGTACGCGAAGGGCTCACCGAGGCACCCGTGCCTGCCACCCCCAAAGGAGATGTACGAGAAGGCACCCGCAACCTTGTCCTCCTCCCTCCCAGCTGCAAACCGGTCAGGGTCATACGAGTCCGGGTTCTTGAATATATGGGGGAGCCTGTTAGCGAAGGCAGGAGATGTTGCGACGATGTGGCCCTTGGGGATATCAAACTCTTTGCCTTCCCTCGTGGTCACGCTGAAGTCAGAGTGTGATTGGCGAAGCAGCATGATCAGCGGCGGGTGGAGCCGGAGCGCCTCCTTGATGCACCGGTAGAGGACATCCATCTCTGCCAAGATGTCATGATCGATCTTGTCACCATGCCTCTTCATGACCTCCTTCTGCTCCTCAACAGCCTCTGCAAAGTACTGCTGGAACTTAAGCAGGTAGGCCCCAGTCCAGGTTGAGGTGATCGAGCTAGTGTGCTGTCCAGCAAACAGGGCTGCGATAAGTAGCCCAGTCACCTCACTTTCTGTGGTCTGGCGGCCATTCTTGTACTTGGAATCAATGAAGCATTGCAGCATGTCTTCCTCAGACTGTCCAGAGGCCTTGCGGGACTTGATGATAGTGGCGAAGATCTCCGCCAAACGTGTTCGTGCCTGGTCACGGCGGCGGTGTGCAGGGATTGGGAGGTAGGGAAAGATGACACTGATTGGCAGCATCCCATTGTCAAGATCATGGAAGAGAGCAGAAACATCATCAAACAACTTTTCTCGCACCTCCCTTCCCAACAAGCATCGGCTAGCAGTCAGTATGATGAGGTGCTCCAATTCATACTTCAGATCCACAGTGCCACTTTCTCCCCACTTCGAGAAGTACTCCTGCAGATGGGTTGGGTTTGCAAATGATATTAATCACCCAAAAGAAATGACCAGAACAAACAAACCTATACAACAACAAAAATAATTGAATAGCATATACTCCCTCCGTTCCTAAATACTGCCTCCGTCCGGAAATACTTGTCATCAAAATGAATAGAAGGGGATCTATCTAGATGTATATTAGTTCTAGATACATCCCTTTTTATCCATTTTGATGACAAGTATTTTCGGACGGAGGGAGTATGTCTTTTTAGAGATTTCAACAAGGACTACATACGGATGTATATAGACATATTTTAGAATGTAGACTCACTCATTTTGTTCCGTATGTAGTCCGCTCTAAAAATACTTATATTTAGGAAAGGAGGGAGTATGACTTATCTTGACATACTAATTAAATGCTATCCCTCCGTTCACAAATATAAGATGTTTTGGATATTTCGATATGGACTACATACAGACTGAAATGAGTGAACAGACACACTAAAACGTGTCTATATACATCCGATTCACAAAAAAGTTAGAACATCTTATATTTGTGAACGGAGGGAGTAGCATAGTGTTACTACTAGACAGAAGAATTGCAAATGTTAAATCAAATGTGGAGCAACTGATTGAAAAGATGATCCACATTATTTGTGCAAACTATTTTTCTATTATTAGCATGACAATGATTTCTAAAAAAAACATACTGGTCATATAGTAGCATAGGCTATATAGCAAACCTTGTCAATGTAATAAGGGTGACAATCAGTATTATGAAACTAGTTGCAAGGGAGGTCAGATTCTGCAGTATGTGTACAGGAGTATAATAATTAATCATGATGTTCATGTTAATGCTTACATCTACATAAACCTTGTTCTGTTTCAGCTACAGGTTCATAGGGAGTCCATAAATGCAGGTCTGAGTGGAGCTTTTTAAAAGGTTTTGACCAAAAGTGCAAACTTACATACAACTTTGCAGGACAAGTTACAACGATTGTTGGTTGTGCAGGATGACAAGATTGGACCAAACATAGCACGCCACATTGATAAACTATGATAAATGCTACTTCTAGAGAGAGAAATGGTTGCCACTACATGATTCTAGTATCATACTCCCTCCATTCCATATTAGTTGACGCTCAAACAGATGTATATAGACGCATTTCAGTGCTAGATACATCCATTTGAACGTCAACTAATATGGAATGGAGGGAGTAGTAAATAGCATCAAATTATCACCTTTCAGGACACAAAAATGCTTGCAAAACAAGCAACTAGGTACTGAAATAACAAGCTTCAGTTATGGTACTCCAGTGCAACTATTGTATTAGAGAACTTGCCGCAAACATTAATTCTCTTGCCATGATTCGCTACAATTGTATTACCAAATATTTCCTTTGATCCAGAAATCCAGATATATCAAACCTGTGCATGCAACACATTATTCTAAGCTCTGATCATACGCGAAATGCATATTTGCATTCAAACGAATACTGGTGACCGAGCAGACCACTGGAATCATCAAAATCCCCACTGATATTTATCTTTGATTAACATAAGCATCGGCAAATTAGGCACACCAAATATTCTACATCTTCCTTTGCTAGTGCATTCCATAGTAAGGATACAAAGTCACATATGAAGTGTCGTGCTCCCCTCTGACTATGATACAATCATTCAAACCCAAGAAGAAGCATCTCACTTGAGAATTACGTACAGAACAGGGGAAGGAAGGAAGAGAATAGAGCTCACCTCGGCCTCGGCAACCATCTGGTCGACGTAGCTGCGGAGCTTGTTGGCCCTGAGCGCCTCGGTGAAGAACCTGAACTGCTCCTGCCTGACCTGGTAGTCGACGTCGAAGACGACCCCGGGGCCGAAGGTGGGGACGTTGAAGCGGTAGACCTCCTGCTGGCTCATGTCGGACTCGTTGCTCTTGAAGAAGTGCGCCGAGACGTCGGGGCCGATGAGGAAGGTGATCCGGCGGGTGAGGATGGGGACGGTGAAGACGGGGCCGAGGCGGGCGTACTCGGCCCGGATGAGCGGGATGGGGCCCCGCAGGAAGCGCAGCAGCCCGCCCACGACGGGCGCCCCCGGGATCGTCGGCGGCGGCCGCTTGCCGCCGCCGCCGGAGCCGAGGAGGATCCTGAGGAAGGCGACGGTGGCGAGCAGCAGCGCAGCGCCGGCGAGGAGCCACTGGGGCTGGGCGTCCGCTAGGAGATCCATCGCCGTGGCCTGGTCCGGAGCAGCCGGCGATGTTCACGTGGGTTAGAGATCACAGAAATGGAAGAGGGTGGGAGGAGCTTCGGTTGTATCGAAGACAAGACACACTGGGTACGCACCTCGTCCGACGCACGATTGGGGGGCGGCCGGGCGGCCGGCGAGACGGGGTGGAGGGAGGATGTAGATCTGGGAGAGTGGAGTGGCGGAGAGGGGTTTATATAAGTGGGAGGGAGCAAAGATTCCTCCGGGGAGGGGAGGGGAGGGGAGGGGTGGTGGTGGGATCGGGACGGGATGGGGTTTACCGGGGGCGGAGCGGAAACAGGGGAGGAGAGGAGTGGTGGTGGAGGAGGATGAAGGATCAAGGATGCACGCACCAGTCTGTATCTCGGGCCCCACATGGCTGTCTCTTCTGCGTGTCTGCTATGCTCTGCTGTTTCTAGTCGCCCAGGTGGACCTAGAAGACAGTTGTGCTCGGGATCCTCTGTTGTGGGGACTGGACGCTTCTACTTGTGTCCACGGTCGCCTTTTCCTCCTAGCACTAGCCGTCACCCAAGGTTTCCCTCCTCTATCTTTTTTTTTTGAAAAAACCCTATACATTAATTAATTAATAATGTTATTACAATCACTCATTACAAAATTCGCCACACAAGGCGGGACGCTATTAAGAAGAATCCCATTAGATTTGCTTATAAAGCTAAACTTCGCAATTTCATGAGCCACCTTATTGGCGTTTCGATTAATTTTCGCAATTTTAAAATTCTTAAGCATCTTTGATATGCTCAAGGCTTCTTTCTTCAGATCAACGAGCGAGAACCTGTCAAGATTCTTATTTGCAAGGAAAAAACGGATAAAAGCACAATTAGTCTCTAAAATAATGGACTGGTGAAGAGTAATACCTATATAAAGAACTGCCAGGCAATTACGCAGCTCAGCTTCATTCACGCTGTAGCATTGACCCAAAAAGTCCCACGAAGATATAATAACTTCGCCAGATGAGTTCCTCACAACCACCCCCGCACTGGCCGCATTAATAGTCTCCACATAGCTGGCATCGATATTGATCTTGATATAATCTTCTGGTAGCCACAAGGGTGGAGAGTGGAGACCTCATAGGTAGCCAGAAGGGTGGACTCACTCCTTTCATTTTTCAGTTTTACTAGTAGGTTCTTGTTTCTCCTTTGGGTATCTATAGCTGGACTGGCTAAATTTTGCCCGCCCACGGACGCGTCCGGTTAGTGTTCGAATGTGTCTTTTTTTAGAGGAAATACATACGCCGATTTTATAAATAAAGTCACCAGACAAAATAATAACATGTTTGTTAGGAAAGACACCCACAATGGTGAACTCGTTCCTAGTAAGCCAAAAAGCCCAGCAAAGGGCGCCAAAGCCCACCCAAAAAAGTCTCTTAGAAACACACCTTTTACTCTTTTGTCCGTCCGTGCAGCCATGTTCTTCATTTTTTTTCCTATACGTCCGGTCACATGCATGTGATTAATAGAGAAGGAGAGAGAAGAAATAATAAAGAAAGGAAAAAAGATGCTCCGTGATGGCCAATTTCCTATGCAACGGATGTAGGATCATCGATCGGACACGTCCGGTCACTCCTCATACTCATCCCATATATGAGGCCAATATGAGGAGTGACGGACAACCTGGGCATTTAAGGAGGCTTTGAGGGGTTCGGTTGGGTAAACTTGTTCCTTCTCTCTCATGTCCGATCAGTGGTGCTACGTCCGCCCGGTCAGTTTGGGGAGTCCGATTGTAGATGCTCTTAGTTTTGATTTTCAGACAGGGTCCACGAGATGATGGCGCCTAGGACACTTCCTCTTAAATACTTCTTCTGTCCAGAATTAGTTGACGCACAAATGGATGTATCAAGCACTAAAATGCACCTACATACATCCATTTGAGCGTCATCTAACTTCGGACGAAGGGAGTAGTCACAACCCGCTAAGGGCATCTCTAATGCTGACCCTCAAATTTCCTTCTGCATCTGTCCACGGACAGGAGGGACCAGTCCGCGAGCACGGATGCAGGAGCCAACCATCTAACGCTATCCACATATACATTTCAAACAAGGTTTAAACAAACTGGATGTAATTCATGCAAACCCGACGGATTTTCATATAAGTCGGAGCACATTCATTACGATTCAGACATTTTTCATTAAAAAGAGAGTGGCCGGAACTAAACCTATCCTACAGCGCGTCGTCCACTTCCTTTGTATTCTGCATATGCGACCACGTCCTCCATCTGTCGTCTCCATGAGCGCAAGTGGGGTTTAAGACCCGTGAAGTGAAGGCGCAGTCTCCAATGAGGAAGAGTGGGACAAAGGAGACAGACCAACCCACTTGGGACACAAGGCCCTGCCACCTCCCATGCCCTAGTCATCCTTAAAGGAGTCTGTGACCTGTCTGTCACCTGTGCTGGTGGATGTGAGGTCGATGATGGACGTGGACGGTCTGTCACTGTCCACCTGTCCCATTGCCCCCGAAAGTTGGATGGCGGCGCGTAGGACATGCAACTTTTGGCGTTCTCGTCCTTGACCGTCTGCGCCGTCAACGCGTGTACTGTCGCGTTCGCGTCCGGCTGCGCTGCCTTTGTGTTGCAAGCGTCATATTGAGCACGCGCAGTCTCACAGAGCACTCGCTGCTCGACAACGAAGTTCTGGTTCGCCACGACCATGACGGCTACGGCCTCCCCGCTTGCGAGCTTGATACGCCTCCATCGTATTTACTTTTCCAAACGCTTTTATCTTGTTTTGGACTCTAATTTGCATGATTTGAATGAAACTAACCCGGACTGACGATGTGTTCAGTAGAACTACCATGGTGTTGTTTTTGTGCAGAAATAAAAGTTCTCAGAATGGAATGAAACTTTTTGGAGTTTTTTTATGGAATAAAAGAAAAATACTGGGGCCAAGAACTACCGGAGGGGGGGGGGCTGGGCGAGCACAACCCACCAGCCCCCCTCCTGGCACGCCCAGGTGGGTTGTGCCCACCTGGTGGCCCCTCTGACCCTATCTCCGACACCATAAAATCATATTTTCGGAGAAAAAAATCAGGAAGGAAGAATTATCACGTTTCACGAGACGAAGCCGCCGCTGCCTCCTGTTTTTCATCGGGAGGCCAGATCTGGAGTCTGTTTGGGGCTCCGGAGAGGGAAATCTTTGATCTTCGTCATCATCAACCCTTCTTCATCGCCAATTCCATGATGCTCCCCACCGGGAGTGAGTAATTCCTTAGTAGGCTCGGTGGTCGGTGAGGGAGTTGGATGAGATTCATCATGTAATCGAGTTAGTTTTGTTAGGGCCTGATCCCTAGTATCCATTATGTTCTGAGATTAATGTTGCTATGACTTTGCCATGCTTAATGCTTGTCAATTTGGGGTCGGGTGCCATGATTTCAGATCTGAACCATTTATGTTATCATCATTATATCTATGTTTTAGATCTGATCTTGCAAGTTATAGTCACCTATTACGTGTTATGATCCGCAAACCCCGGAGTGACAATAGTCAGGATACTTTCCGACGACGACCATAATTTGAGGAGTTCATGTATTCACTGTGTGCTAATGCTTTGTTCCGGTTCCCTATTAAAAGGAGGCTTTAATATCCCTTAGTTTTCTTATGGACCCCGCTGCCACGGGAGGGTAGGACAAAAGATGTCATGCAAGTTCTTTCCATAAGCATGTATGACTATTTACGGAATACATGCTTACATTATATTTATGAACTGGAGCAGTGCCGTATCGCCCTAGGTTATGATTGTTATATGATAAATATCATCCAACAAGTTCACCGATCCAATGCTTACGATTTTTCACATATTGTTCTTGCTAAGTTACTATTGCTATTCCCGCCGTTACACTTGCTACAAAATCATTGCTATCATTGTTACCGTTACTGTTACTGTTACCACTGCTATTAAAACTATCATATTACTATGCTACTAATCATATTGTTGTAGATAATTAATCTCCAGGTGTGGTTGAATTGACAACTCAGCTGCTAATACTTGCAAATATTCTTTGGCTCCCCTTATGTCAAATCTATAAATTTGGGTTGATTACTCTACCCTCGAAAACTGTTGCGATCCCCTATACTTGTGGGCTATCAAGACCTTTTTCTGGCGTCGTTGCCGGGGAGCATAGCTATATTTGTTGAGTCACTTGGGATTATTATCAATCTATCATTATGAAGAATCTGAAGGATACCAAGACTAAGATTTTCCCTCTAAGATGAGGGTAGGTAAGGAACTGGCATCTAGCTCTGCACTTGATTCACCTTCTATTTTGAGTAAACTTGCAACACCACCACATGCTACTAATTCTGATATGTCGCAAGTTATTGATGATGCTACTTCTGCTATGAATGTACTCATGATGAAGCTAGTACCTTGCTTGATGATGGTGTGCCACTAGGTGATTTTCTTGATGAACAAATTGCTAGAGTTAGAGAGAAAGAATTATTGAAACTGATGAAGTGTATGAAACTGAAAATCTTGAAACACCTATTAGACCTAGCTCTCCTAGATATGAATTTCCAAAGGTACCTGAAGGTTGTGTTATGGATGAGGAGACATCTAGAGACTTTCTTGCTTGCAATGATAGAGATGATCTAAAAAATTATTATGCAAACTGAAAGAAAAATCTTTGAATGCTAGAATGAAATGTGATCCCAAGTTTGCTACTTCACCTATCTTTATTGATGATAAGGATTATGAATTCTCTGTCGACTCAGCGTTAATTACTTTGGTTGAATCTGATCCTTTCCATGGTTATGAAACTGAAACTGTAGCGGCACACCTTACTAAGTTGAATGATATAGCCACCCTATTTGCTCATGGTGAGAAGATTCGCTACTATTGTATTCTCAAATTATTCTCTTTGTCATTAAAGGGTGATGCTAAGATATGGTACAATACTCTTGCTCATGGTTGTGTGCATAGTCCACAGGATATGATTTATTACTTCTCTGAAAAATATTTTCTTGCTCATAAG